TGCTGCCCCCGGTTTCGGAGTAGGAACGAGCCCGTGTCGATTTCTCGGCCCTCCGAGTGCTGGGAGACGGGCAGAGTGTGTGCGGTGGGTGGGTTTGGCACCAGTAAAGTCTGTGTTGGGACACGGGCAGTGTGTGTGCGGTGCGTGGGTTTGGCACCAGTAAAGTCTGCGTTGGGAGACGGGTAGTGTGTGTGGTGGGTGGGTGTTGCACCAGTAAAGTCTATGTTCACCTGCTTCGCCCTCTGCTCCCGACCAGAGAACAGCCCGAGCTTATGGAGCTGGAAGTGTAACCTCGCCGCTGGTTTAAAACGCCAGATTAGTGCCTGAAGCTATTGCATGTCAAATCTTTCTCACTGGAAGGAGCGGCAGGGGGGGGTGAAAAGAACTTGGCTTTTCTTGCAGGATTAGGGTTTTCGTTTACACCTAATTAGTGCTGTTTGCTACTAAGGGCTTGATGGCTTTGTCACCAGAATAGTTGAGGGTGATGTTTGCTGTGTGAAACGTATGTTTCTGAAGTGCTGCTATGGTGGAAGCATAAAGACAGACGTACTAGGAAGAAATGTCTTTTGAAGTGATAAGGCTCATCCTTTTCCATCACTGTTTTGCTTAGATAGCCTTCCAGAAGAAGCTGTTACATGGTGTTTGTCCTAGTTTTGACTGGGATAGAGTTAGTTTGCTTTTTAGCAACTAGAAGAGCTCTGTGTTATGGATTTAGTATGGGATTGTTATGAGAAGAACGTTGGTAGCACACTGATGTTCATAGCTGGTGCTGAGACATCGGGGGTCTTTCAGCTTCCTGTGTTCTGCCAGTGTGCAGGAGCACAAATGGCTGGCGGGGAGCATGGCCGGGACACAGCTCCCAACTTCTATCTTAGGATTTGAGTTTAGATTTAGGATTGAGGCCCAAACTGGCCTATAGAACATTCCATATCATGCAACATCATGCCTAGTATATAGATGAGGGTTGGCCAGGAAGTTCTCTCATGCTCTTTGCATCTCCATTCGGGGCTGTCGTCGTTCGGGGATTGGGGTTTCGGAATGCTCTGTCTCGGGTTTGCCCGCTGGGAAGGGACAGGCATTGCTCATCGAGTGGTGAGCAATTACATGGTGCATCACTTGATTGTGTATATTATTTTAATTTGTATATGTTAGCGTATAGTGTTATTATTTTTATTATTATTACTTTCAATATTACTTTATTTCCTCCCTTTTCTCCTGTAATTTTCTTCCCCATCCCCAGGGGTGGGGGACAGTGAGCAATTGGCTGCATGGTGGTTAGTGACTGGCCGGATTAAACCACGACAGTGTTGAACTTCCATGTGTTCGCTTCTTGTCAGTCGTAATCTAATCTTTCAGTGCCGTTTGAGAGTGCTGCCTTTGCCTCTCCCGCACTGCTGACCTTCTTGTCAGTGGTAGAAACTGTGCTCTGCACTCTCCCCTGCGAGCCCGTAGAGGCTGTTGCCAACGACCGTGGTTGGGGCAATTTTATGCCCTGATGCTTTAAGGCAGTTTTCAGCAGCTGCTTAAACACCCAGATAACATCTCTTGGAGCATTAGTGTGTCTGTAGCAAACAGATCCTGTGAATAAAAAGATAAAATGTTGTCACCTGAAGCTAAGCAAGTGTCCAGTGAAATGAGGGAGATGAAAAGGGAAACGGTTTTCTAAACTACAGAGGGTGTTTGAAGAAGAGACAGAGGCAGCTGTCTCTGCTTTTACCGCCCGTGCCTCAACTGACGTAGCAGGAGTTATTCTTCAGGAACGTAGAGCTTGCAGCACTCTACGTTTCTCACATCTGTCAGGTCTTTTCTGTCGTTTTACTTGACTGTTTACTGTGGGTTTTTTTCCCCTTCTCTGGCAGGTTACTTCATGGCTAAAGAAAATATATGGCAATCAGCCAATTCCACAATACGAAGTGAACGCGTGGACGGTGGACTTCTTGTATGAGCTTGCAGAACGCAGTGAAGCCAGAGACAGGGATGTTTCTTTGCTGATAGAGGACACCAAGCGGGAGGCAGAAGAATATGAAGCAAAAGGTGAGTCTGAAGCTTTCTGTTCTCCGTTCCATCAAAGTTAGTTCCATCTTCGTGATCTTGAACATTGTCCTGGTGAAAATCTTATACATATATGTATTTCTTTGTGTGTAAATCAAGGAACGTATGTGATTGGAACAAAGGCAGCTTTTGTTGCAGTACAGGTTTTACTACAATGCATCCCATGCATTCCTTTCAGCAAAATTTACAGTGAGGTAAGGTCTGCCATGAACAATTTTTCAAGCCATCTTGAGCAGATCGTCAATGCGAATGGGCGGATTAATTGCTAAGACCTCCTAGCCTGCTGGGCTGAGTAGGGCAGCATTGAAATTTGAGTGCAGGAGCTTTGAGGTACAAGGTTGAAGCTAAGAGCAGCAGGCTGCGGCTTACGTGAGAAGTGGGTACCCAGATAAGAATAGCCAACATGTCTGTGTGAAGTGGAACAGGTTGCCCAGGAAAGTTGTAGATGCCCCATCCCTGGAGGTGTTCAAGGCCAGGTTGGATGGGACTTTGGGCAACCTGGTGTAGTGGAGGGTGTCCCTGCCCATGCAGGGGGGGTGGAACTAGATGATCTTTGAGGTCCCTTCCAACCCGAACCATTCTATGATTCTATGAAATATTGGCTGAATAGACAGGGAAGAAACCCTCAAGCTGATCGAAGAGTCTGAGCTGGTGCTAATCCAGTGTTAAGGAAAGCACTTTAGGAATCATAGAATGGTCTGGATTGGAAGGGACCTCAAAGGTCATCTAGTTCCAACTCCCCTGCCATGGGCAGGGACACCCTGCACTACACCAGGTTGCCCAAAGCCTCATCCTACCTGGCCTTGAAGACTTCCAGGGATGGGGCAGCCACAGCTTCTCTGGGCAACCTGTGCCAGTGCCTCACCACCCTCTGAATGAAAAATTTCTTCCTTATATCCCATCTAAATCTCCCCTCTTTCAGTTTAAATCCATTGCCCCTTGTCCTATCACTACACACCCTTGTCAAAAGTCCCTCTCCAGCTTTCCTGTAGCCCCCTTTAGGTACTGGAAGGCTGCTATAAGATTACCCAGGAGCCTTCTCTTCTCCAGGCTGAACAGCCCCAACTCTCTCCGTCTGTCTTCATAGCAGAGGTGCTCCGGCCCTCAGATCATCTTCGTGGCCTCCTCTGGACCTGCTCCGACAGCTCCATGTCCTTCTTGTGTTGAGGACCCCAGAGCTGAACACAGTAATCTGAATCTGAAAGAAGAGTGAGGTGGTTAATTTATACTCGAGCTGTCTGGAGGGAGGGAGCGATAACGTGGGGGTTTTGGAGCAAGTGAGCATTTCAGGGGACCATAACATGTTTTTAATGCACGTGTTAAAAGAGAGAGTCCATCTAGGCTTTAAAAGAACAGTAATAGGAAGAAATTGCTATTTTGGGTTGTATTTGTTTTCCAGCTAACTACCTACAGAGCATTCTCATGGAAAGCCTGGGTCTTTCCATGTCCTGTCTGTCCAGTGAAGGCATCAGCTTCCTGGATGTCCTGGTGAACAGTGCAATGACACTCGAAACAAAGGACACTTCTCTTACCAGGTAATTATTCCCACTGTGCATCAGCAGTGACAGTCTGTACTGTTTCCCTCTGGTTTTTCATTCTGCAGTTTCAAAGTGGGCTTTTACACCAGGAATCTTACTCATCCAGCTTATTTTGCACCCTTCGGGCAGCTTTGGAGGACACAGGAACTGAGCACAAAGCTCTAACTCTTGCTTGTCCTCACAGAGGAAGTCTCTGAAGCTTGAGAGGAGTCTTGGCCACAGCTGAATCCCTCTTTTTCCTCTGCCCCCCATGCTTTTGTGATTGGTGGCTGCAGACACTGCTACTAGGACTGTGGCGCGGGGCAGCACAAGCTAGAGCAGCTTTCCTGCTGCTTCTTCAAGGAGTGGGGAACTGTAACTGCTCTTTCAGTCTCAGCTTCCCTTTTTTCCCTCTCTCATCTGGGAGGTGTCCTTAGTGTCGTGCTTTATAGCCAGCGGCAACTAAACACCACGAAGCTGCTGGGTCGCCCTCTCTCACTCCCTGGGGAATGGGGAAGAGAATTAAAGGGGAAAAGGGAAGGAGGCTCATGGGTTGAAATAAGAACATTTCAATAAAAATAATATGTGAGTATATTTATAAAAAAAAGGATAATAAAATATACAGACAAGGGATGCACAGTGTAAATGCTCACCACCTGGTGGCAAATGCCTGTCCCATCCTGGCAAGTGATTCTGAAACACACAAGTCCTGCCACCGCAATCCCAGGTGAGTGAGAGGCCTGACAAGAGAGTGAGAGAGAGAACTCTGAGAGATCAAGAAGAGACAGAGAGATTCCCCCAAAAGGGAGAGAACTCCCAACTTCCCTGTCCACCCTCATCTGTATACTGGGCATGACGTTGCAGGGTATGGAGTATTGCATTGGCCAATTTGGGCCTCAATCCTAAATCTAAACTCAGATCCTAAACTGGGAGTTGTGGGCTCTGTGTCCCAGCCATGCTCCCTGCAGCCTGTTGTGCTCCTGCACGCTGGCAGAGCATGGGAAGCTGAAAGGTCCTTGATGTGTCAGCACCAACTATAAACATCAGGATGTTACCAACGTTCTTCTCATAACAAATGCCAGATGAAATCCAAAACACAGAGCTCTTCTCGCTGCTAAAAAGAAAAGCTAACCCTTTCCTAGCCATAGAGAAATGGCAGCTGTTAGCGTGGTCTTCCTGGGCTCCTCTCCCTAGCCTGGCCTTGACCAGCAACACAGCAGGTTTGCGCCGAGTGCTGGCAGTAAGGAAGGGCCAGAAACTGCCAGGGAATCCCATTTTTTTTATAATGCTCATTGCCTTGACTCTTAGCAGCTCATCTCCTGAGCTGGAGGGGAAAGCAGCTTTGAACCAATTGGGAAGAGAAAGACTGAAACAGTGCTGGGCATGTCTCAGGGACATGCATTTTCAGGGACAGAATACAGTTTCTCTCAAGGGTGTTTGGCAAGTCAGGGGTGGAGAATCTGATGATTTAAAACCCAGTGGCTCTATTAATTAGAGCAGCAGGTCTTGTTCGCTTCCTTCTCCTTGGGTTGTTGGGTTGTTTCCCCTTCCAGATGGAATCTTTGTTAGGTGAAGCAGACGCCTTTAGTGACTTGTTTTACTTTCCTCTAAAATGGCCGGTGATTATCTGAGGTATCATCATAGGAGAACAAAACCAAGTCATTTGTGTAAAGTGTGGAAAAAATAATAATAACAATAATAATTCTGAGTTTCAGAAGAGCTGAATTCTGAGCATTACCACTGGATCTCTCTCTTCACCAGCTTCTTCTGTGCCATCAATGATATGACTTCAGAGATTTTTGCAACACAATCAAAAGTCAGTGAAATGGAACGGAAATTGAAAAAGATGATGAAAAAACTAACTATAGCACTGACAATGGAAACGCAGTTAGAGGCGTAAGTAATGGATGAGAAAAGGGAAAGATGTGAGCAATACTGCTGACCTCTGCTATGTGTAACATGGGTTGTGATAACTAACAAGGATAACTGAATTTGCAGGGTTTTTGCCTCATCTCTAATGCACAGTATTTGGAAGTATCTATCAAAAGCCATGTGTTCTGGACACACGAATTAGTCGGAAGAGTTTTAGGGTACTATCAAGCCTGTTATTTTAAACCAGGAACTGGTGTACAAGCAGTTTTCACGTGTGGTCTGGCATTTTCCAGCAGTTGCCTTTGGCTGGGGTTGAAGGTAAACCTGATTTTCCTAGTACGTTTAGCATGGGCTCTGTAGTCAGAGCGGAGGAGCCAGGCAAAACAAAAAATGTTCCCAGGTAGAGAACTTCCCTTAACTAGTGTGGGAGACTTGTTGAAAGAAAAAAAAAAAAAAAAAAAGGGTATTGAGTCCATTCCCCCGAGGATGTAACCTGGAGCGCTTTGCCAAGCATGGCAGGATCAACCCCTGCCTTGCCTGGGGCTTGGCCCAGACAATCTCCACAGTTCCTTTCCAGTCTGTGAGTAGAAGTAGCAATCGTGGCGCAGCATGTAGCCAAGATACCAGACTTATATGCAGGTTTGCTGTGGCCCCTCACTGTGATCTGCAGATTAGCTTAGAGAATTGGGGAATTATGTAGAAGACTGTTGCTCTTTGGTTTTATACAGGTGGCTTTCCCTTGACCAGCTTTTCCATGGCCTTTGAGAGTCTGGATGTAACAGCTGTGGATATTTCCGCTGGGAAACTTCACAGGGGAATGCAGTTTTTTCTCTATTCTGTCCCTTCTGGTGTTGGGTGTGTTACAGGGTTTAGCTTCAGCATAGGTAATTAAGTAGTATTTGTGGACTGGTATTTCTTTAAATGAAAAGTTTGGAAAGAAAGTTTGGGTTTTTTTGTATTTTTTTTTTTTAAGGGATGTTCAAAAAACAGAGGAACAACTGCAACTACGAAAGCTCAAAGCTGACTGCGAATTCCATAAAATGAAATTCCTGCGAGCTAAGTCTGAGGATTTAAAAATCAGGATCAAGGCTGCTGAGGTAGAGGGAAGGAATTTTCTAACAAGACCTTGTGGCAGGATGGCACAGTTGTGGTTGGTCAGGCCCAAAATTGTGGTTGAAGACATCCTTGGAGCTTCTTAAACTCCGGGATTTAGTCATCTTGGGCTAACAGGACAAGGTGTTACTAGACTTCTGTCGTTCCTGTCGTATTCATGGACTCTCCCCAGGACATCCTACAGTAAACAAACACAGTGACACTTTCTTTTCTTGCGCTGAGAACTGTATTAGCTCGGACTACCTTGTGCTTGTTGTGAGGTCCTGTCACATAAGAGTGTACGCACACAGAGCTACCAGTAGAGCAGCTGACAGGCTGAGGTAACTCGTGTGTCAAAGTTCTGACCGTAGCCATTTTTTGAAAGTAATGAATGAAGAAACCCAGAAGTCAGAAGTTGTAGTGTCTTCTCCTTGCCCTTTTCTACATGGTGAAGGACATAAGGACAGTTGGATGCTGTCTGATAACCCTGACAGACACAAGATTAAGAACCTTGTAGTACAGTTGATGACTTTTTACTGAGAAGCATCTTTCCAGCCTTGCCATGCGCTCTTCTCTCGCTAGTTATCTGGAAAGATTTGTTATTCTTGATAGAAATTTTAGTAGCAGCTGATTTTGTATACCAGCTTTAGCTGTGGTTCAGCTAGCACACGTGTCTCTTATTGACAAACCACGTTCTTGTGTGCCTGTTTATATCGAAAATGAAGGAAATGATAATATCTTTCTCCTCCTTGGTATATTTTTGTGGTCATGAACGAACTCGTTGTTTGTAGGAGGAGCTTCTTGCCATGGGGTTGGACCAGTCGCTGACCCACGAGTCACTCGTGAATCTCTCTGAGGTAGGTCTTGTGGTGTGAGGTGTATGTTTCTAGAGTAGTGCAGAGCAGGCATGTTTGCTGGGTGGTTTCAGGATGGTGATTCCTTCTAGTTCGTGTGGCATAAAACTCCTCTCAGACTCTTCTGAGCAAGGGGAGGAGGTCAAGTGAAGCCCAAATCCTGAGCTGCCGTATGCTTTTTTTTTATCTTGCATCTTTAAATATCACATTTTTCAGCTGTATTGTAAGCCCAGCGGGAGAATTTGTTAAAAGAAAAAGCACATTTCTTGAGTTACAGAATCTACAGATTCTCCAGCTTTGTGCTGAAGCATTTGTACACACGTAACATGTATTTGTGGTGTTATTCGTGCACTCACCACGTTTTAGTATTATTTGCTAATAATACTAGGCGCCCATTAATCTTTCTCCCCACTTCTTTCGCTCTCTTTTCCTGCGTGTTAGTGAACTTGAACAATGAAAACAGGTTTCCCGATTTTTATGTGGTTGTTGTCACGCACCAGCACTGGGTGGCAATGTTTACATGGCACAGTGTTTCAGCAGAGCACTATTCAAAAACAGATTTCTCTTGGAATCTTACATACAAAAAGCCATAGGGAATTTTTTGGGCTTTCTGGTGTTCTAGAACCTGAGCATAAGGGCAGGTTTGACTCCCGACATTTCTATATCTGTTTTGCCAAGAGCTCTGTGAATTGGGCAGCACCAATGACTTGATCTTCGGAGTGCGTTTCTTTTTCCTTGATTATTTGGAAGGAGTTGAGGACTGTGGAAGGTGCTCAGTTTTCAGCCCCCAAAAGAAATTATTTCCCTTTGTTGACAGAATAAGCACAGCAGTGCAAGTGTAAGGGGAGTCTTTTTGCTGCTGCACATGCAAAACTGTTTTCCTCCAGAAGCCACGGGCAGGAGAACATATCTCCTTCCTTGGGGCTTAGTTCTCTCCCTGTGGCCTCCAGTGGGGTTGGCAGTGAAAATCCTCTGTCTGGTAGGTTCTCATTTGAAATTCCCTCTCCTTTCGTGGAGGTAAGATGAGGTGGTTGTACTGTAAGAAAAGAGACCTGAAGATGTCTTCAGAATGAAGGAAAATTAGATGATACATCTGTGTGCAATGGAACTGGGTTTGACTGACTGATAACTGAGTGAATAGCAGATCTTTAGTTCTCCGTGGGTTTTAAGAAGAATCATGAAAGCGGTCACCAACCTCTGAATTCTGAAATGCTGTAGATAATTGCGGCTCCGCTTCACTGATTTACATCACTTCTAGAAGTAGAGAATATAACCTGCCTTGCACTCTTCACAGGAAGTGGCTAGTCTGCAGAAAGAAGTTGTGGTTTTGGAGAAGGACCTTGAGGCCTACCAAGATTTACCTCCGGTAACTATTATTTCCACTGTTCTATTGTATTTGCCATCAGATTAATTTTAGTGGACTTTGGAATGTAAAGGATGTTTTTGGGATGGTTTCAGTGGACAGGTAAGTGTCTTACAGGTCTACTAATGGTGTAACCAGAAGAGTTTACTCAAACAGAAGGCTGTCTGCTTCTTAGTCAAAGCCAAGGAATTAAGCATGCTTACCGGGCAGACTTTGCTCTAACAAAAGGCACAGGTTTGCCAGGTGAGCTCAGTGTCAAGGTGAATTAGCTGGAAATTAGACAAAGAAACGTGGAAGCCAATATGATTCCTTAGCATAAGCAGTTTTTTGAGATTGAGCAGTATATTAGCTCTGCGAGTCATCAGGCTGTCAGTATGGTGGATGCGGCACGTAGTGCAGCGGTTGGAGCTCTGAGCAAGATTTCCACAGTTAGGAAGGAATAGCCAAATGTAGGCGTTGTCCCCTAACCAGGTACTCTCTGCTTGTGACAGTACTGGCTTCTCTGAGGTTTTCCTTGATTTCTCTTGAGGGTGCTGAGTGCTCAGCTCTCTGAAAAGGCAGGTTACTCATTTAGGTGACCAAATTGCAGTCTTGAAAGCCCCTGCCTGCCTGTCTCTTCTTCATTTCATGTTTTGGCCGTTGTCACTATTGGTCCCTGTGCTGGGAGTTGCTGTCAGACTGCTGTGGGAAGCGTCTTTTGTAAAAAGTATGGGAGTCATTTCAAATGAAAGGCTGTTTGAGTTAAGGGGAATTTTGTCAACAACTTTAAAGTGGCATAAAGGAATTACGGGCAAATAGGGCTTTAGTCCATGAAACAGAAGGGCTTGGCTTTGTGTGGTGTCTGTACATCAGCACCTGTGATGTTTGGGACCCAAGTATTTCCAGTTTCCTTTGGAAGGTGGCCATTGGCTTTACAGATAAGTGTTAAGGACTTTTCTCTTTGTTATTCAGGGGAGAAGTGGCAAAAACTGGAGGGAATAGTTGAATGGGGTTTGGTTTTGTGAAACACAATTGTGACTGTCTCATGTAGTTTTGGATTTGAGTTACCTGCTGTGGCCCCTGTTGCGTCCTCATCTGAGCACCCCACAGCCCTGAAGAGAGCTAACGTCAGATCTTGCTGTGCGAGAGGTGAAAAACTTTATTCCACTTCTCATAACCGGGGCATAGAGGTGCAGAGAAACCAAGAGACTTGTCCAAAGTCACGTAGAGACTCTGTGGTTAATCACTTCTCTTCTGTAAGGAACCAGGGACTTGCCTGCTGGGCCATGCTTCTCTCTCCACCTTCTTGGCCCCTCCATCGAGTTCCTGCCTCTCAGCACATCTCCCTGCTACAACTCCTGCTACCTTTCTCCTAGACGAAAAAGATGAAGGGAGGGGGTGGGACTGCTTGTGGTTTAAATCCGTCTTATCCAAGAGGCAGCTGCCTCCTTTCCTCAAGCAAAACAGGATGTTCAAATTGGATTTGGTTCCCCAGTTCCCCCCTCCCTCCCACCTTGCCGTCCGTGGAGACAGGGAGAGCCCTGGTGCTTCGCTTCTGGTGCAGACAGGAGGAGGGCAGGAGGGAGGTTTATCCTTGCAAGCTTATTTTGGGAATGCTTTGCCTTTGTGCTTTTTGTGCTTTGGGAAATTCATGCACGAATATGTTTAAAATCCAGTTCCTCGATCGGTAGGTTTGGAAGATTGCCAAACATGGGGTTTTTTTTTCCAGACTTTAGGCCATACCAGGCTTCTTGGAAAAGAGGTGATTACCCAAACCAAACTGATACTATTGTCAGCACTGTTTGCATGTGAAGGGTGTACACAAAACTTATTTCATTATCACTGAATTCCCCTGTGGCACGTCGTTAGACTCTTGCAGTGATGCAGGGACTCTGTGTTTCCAGCTGAAATCCTCAGTTTTATACCATTTTCTCTCCTTAGAATCTTTCCCTTGCACGAGTGAGGATCGAAGAAGCAAAGCGAGAACTGGTAAGAGTTTTTTATCTTAGACAGAGGTGTAAGTGAGTGCTGTTGTCCCAAAGCAAGCTATGAATGTTAATTGGTTGTGGATTTATCTACTTCATGATGTCTAGAGGGTTGTTTTGCTCTGGTAAGGCAGAAGCCATGCATATTGGTAGGAGGAACTGGTGAAGGAATGCTGTGTAAGCTACCCAGGCAGCTGGGCATAACAGCATCGGTGGGGTTGAGGTATCTATATCCCTCTGGATTTTGTTCGCTTCACCTGTCAGCATGTTTATTCCCTCAGCTGTGTTGCAGCTTGTAGGTCTCCCAGCCTTCCTTGCTGCTCCCAAACTCTCAGAGGGCTGTGGAGCCCGTGTTTTATTTCACAGTTGCCTCGTAGCCTGTAGTGGGGACCTTCTCCTATAAAATACAATGCTGGTTTCATCCATGCTTATGTAACCTGCAGGTATAGTTGTTACACATTCATAAAACGCTGTTTAGGAAGTTCCTGTGGTAGCTTTCCTAAGTGAGCTGGGCCCTGTTTGAGCATCGACTCTGTCTTTAGTTCTTTGGGATACCATCTGCTTGCTCCCAGATGAAGCACGAGGTATTCAATGATAAGCCTTAAAGCTGTGATCAGTAATCATGGCTGTTTGAGAGTATGTTGTGCAGTTTCAGGTGGGACTGCTCAGGGTGGTAAGCCACTTGTTTTGGATTCAGAAATACAAGGTCACCTTACCAGGCTGAGGCTTTTATCAGGTCCGAATACTCACCTGTGAAGTCTACTTCTTCAGCTTGAAGGTGCCTAGTCCCACACTGGAGCACAGTATAAAGGCCACCAAGCTCAGGTAGCCCTTCATTTGGAGATGTCTCTTTAGTTGTCTAGAGAGACTACTGCTGTTGCAGTGCTGAGACCTTCTAGTTCAAGACTTGAGTAAATCAGTGCCGGTAATATCCCCAGGTTTGACTGTTGTAGATCTGTTTGTCTAACAAGAATGTAAGAAAACTGTTTCATGGTCACTAATGGCTCTTGGTTTTCTCTCCTGCTAGGATGCTGTGGAGGAAGAATTCTCAAGGGAGGTTGACACGATGGTTGCTGCGTTCACAGAGTCCAGAAAACGTCCTTTCAAATGAAGGTGGCATGTGTGGAAGAAGATTTCCCTTCTATTGGCTGTGTAGTTGCACTAGTAAAGCACTTTGGAGTTCTTAACAGCACTTCTGCAGCTTTCTGCCTTCCTCTTCTTGCTGTTGGATAGCATGCTTGTGACCTTCCAGCAGGCATGCTTGGGCTTTTTAGGGGTTTGTGTGGCCTTTCATTTGTTAACGTCACCTCTTTTCTATTAAATAGCCTCCAAACTGACTGTTTTCCCGATCGGTTCTTTTTCCGTATTGGATACCCACCTGTAATTGGCCTCTGCACGGCATCTTCTCCAGGAAGTGTCCCTGTCAGGCTTTGGTTGACCATTACCACTTAGAATGTAACTGATCAGTAACTTTTTCGCCATCCAGGCTCTGGATTGTCCTGTCACAGGTAAGACTTGAGATGAGACTTTGCAGCATCAGCCTGCCAAGGTTCTGTAGTTTCATATTTGTCTGAGAGAGTGGAGGCCTGTGGCACTCACCTGTAAGGTTTGCCTGTGTTCAAGGCTTTGAGAGGTACCAGTCTACTGTTGACTCCTTGTTGTTTCTCCTTCCATTATGAATAGAATCTTGGAATATCAGGTTGGAAGGGACCTCAAGGATCATCTGGGCCAACCTTTCTTTGTGAAAGTGCGGTCGAGACAAGATGGCCCAGCACCCTGTCCAGCTGAATCTTAAAAGTGGCCCATGTTGGGGAATCCACCGCTTCCCTGGGGAGATGATTCCAATGGCTACAGTGGCTAAGGGGAGGTGACCTCAAAGGTAACTGCTGGGAGATCTAGAACAGGCATGGCAGAGCAGAGATGACGGCAGGTGGAGCTGCAGAAAAGCACCGAAAGAAGGCAAGGCAGTCATCTGTGAATCTGTAAAGAGCCAACAGCATCGCCTGATCTTTCCTGCTGTGGAAGGGGAAAGAAGTCATGGTCTAGAAAGGCATCAGCACGTAGCTGGGTAGACATCAGAGATTGAGTTAGGAAGACAGCCGTCGTAAAGCTCTGGAGGTCATGGCCTGACAGTTAAAGAATCTTAACTGCTGGGGGCTTTTAAGAGCAGATCAGAAACGCTTTGCTGAAGTGTTTATAATGCGTGGGAGTGTTGATCATGCTTTGGGATAGCAAGATGGATTTGATGAGAGCTTTAGGATGCTACCAGCCCTGCTTTTCAGAGAGAGCTTCCAGCCTTACCGGGCTAACAGTAGATGAAGCCTTTTTGTCCCACCTGTGTAACCATGACTGAAGGTTCCGGAGGATTTCCTGAGACTGTGGGACTCTCTGAGCAATGCTTCATCACGTAATGCTGCAGCAGTTGTGACACTGGGGGCGGGGGTGTTGTCCCCCTGCACCTGCAGGGCAGCTGCACCACTCCCCGGCTGCTGCTATTGCACAGCCCATGCTGTGTCCCATTCCCTGTCAAAGAACCCAAAGAGAGAGAGCGGCAGGGCTGGACTCTGACTGGAGAACTGTCCAGAGAGAGCCACGTGTTGCTTCCCAGCACTGGAAATGCAAGGAGAAACACATGTACAGCAGCTGCATTGGAGCTGTGCACCAGAGATGAGCCATCTGCATGTGCACGATAAATCAGCGGCCAGTTGTTGGTCTGACAGTTCCGCTTTTGGTGGCAATGAGGAAGGTCAAGTAAAGGAGGCTGATGCAGCCAGTGGACTGTCAGTGAGAGTTCTCATCTCTGCAGTTACGCGTTTGCACGGGCAGAGTGCCCTGCAGGGCAAGCGGAGGTGTCCTTCTTCACTGCTGGTGTTTTGGGTGGTCCAGCTTTCCCAGCGCAGGGATGGATGGGGTACCGGTGCAGGGATGCTGGCACAGGAACGCCTCGGAGAGGTCCTGCCCAGACAGGAGCGCGCCAGCCTGAGTGCTGGGCTGGGAAAATGTTTGATTTGGGGCTTCACCCTCTGCCCTGACAGCTGTTGAGGTCCCAGTGGGTGGTGAGGAGCTGTGGCAGCCTGGAGGCAAGCTGCCAGCTGGACCCCTCAGCTGTTGTAGACTATGATGAGATAATCATCCAGCTGAGAATGACAGGAGTGCCTGGAGAGGCCTCTGCTATGTCAGCCTCTGCTTACTCGTTTGTGGGGCATTTTTGCAGGAGAAAGATTTCTGAATTGGAGAAGCAGAAATCCTCCCAGTGTGGAGCTGCAGGGAAACTATTGGCCTGGGGCTGGCTGGGAGATGGGAGCAGGGACAGAGGAGCTCTGCTCCCCCTGCCAAGAGCCAGCTGAGGGAATCCAGGCTGGGAGTCCTCACAAGCCAAACTGCTCTCCCAACTGGCTTTTACTTGGACATAGGAGCATGGCTCAGGCTCGTTCCTGCCATTGGTCGTTTCCTCCTGTTGTCTTGAGGGAAGCACAAGTGCCACATAGAGGAGGTGGTTGCAATGGTGGCAGTGACAGTCCCCTGGAAGCTCAGGTGTGAGGCTGCACCACCAGGCCCCTCCACAGCTGAAGGAGCCTCCACCGCTCCCTTCCCCGGTGACCCTTTCCAGAGATATCCCACTGAGACTCCCATTTCTCAACAGCGTTTCTTTGTGGTGGAGTTCTTACTGCTTCCTCGTGAGGTAACTAACGCTGAAGTCAAAAGGTGGTTGAGGAGTGACAAAATGGAGCCAAAGGAGCCTAGAAGAGGTGCTGGGCTGTACTCTCTAAATTCCTGGAGCCAGCACCACCTCTTGCCTTTCCTCCTCCCTTCCTAATCTTTTAGTCCATCTCCCTGAAAAGTCAGAACGAGTCCCCTGGAATTTCTCCTGGCTGGCATTTAAAATCTCAGGCAATAAAGCTTTCACCACTTCCCTTAGGGAGACAATTTTCCAGCCTACGGTTCTCCATTCAAAAGCTTTCCACCCTGATTCTCAGCTTAAACATGCCCTTCCTTAATTTCACCCCATTAAAATCGTTAACGTATCACCAGTCTTCTCCCTCTGTGCCGCTTCCTTCCCTCAAGTATTTACCGACCAGTGATGTCTCCCGGCTTGGTTTACTAATTCCGCTGTACCTATGATACCCCGAATTCCTTTTTCCTTTCATAATGCCTCCAGGCTGCCGATTCCTCCAGTCGTGGCCCTTTGAGCTCCTTCCCATTTATGACTCTTCCCATGAGGCAAACACGAGGCAGACGCTCACCGCCCTTGCCTGCGTCGTTACGCTTGTCTGTCCCAACCCGCCTTGCCTGTTCCTTGCTGCCGTGCCCTAACAGCGTGCCGTGCTCCGGTGTCTTGCAGGAGTCGTGCCTCCAGAGCACGTCCTTCCCTTTCAATACAGACTGCGGATTCTTTTCCCAGAAGTAGCCGGCCGGGTTGTGGAGGCTGATTTTTAGCTGGTGGCAGGGCATGGCGCGAGCCGTGTCGGAAAGGAGAGCAGACTCTGGGTGTGAGCCCCCAGCAGCCCCACGCCTGGCAGGTTTTCTAAGTACAGATTTCGTTCACACCCTGGTTGTCCCCTCTTCTGCTGGCACCATGCAGATCAGATGCACGGATGAGGCTGGTGCTCTTGCGAAGGAAGATTTTATACGTTGGGTGACAAATGCCTTGCCGAACAAAGTGCTGTGTCAAAAGAGAATCATGAGTGCCTGGACATGTAGCTCTGCTTCTACCTGGCTCTTACTCTCATTTCTCCTCAAGGTGATGAATTCTCCTGAGGTAGTATAGAATCATAGAATGGTTTGGGTTGGAAGGGACCTCAAAGACCATCTAGTTCCAACCCACTCTGCCATGGGCAGGGACATCCTCCACTACACCAGGTTGCTCAAAGTCTCATCCAGCCTGGCCTTGAACACTTCCAGGGAGGGGGCAGCCACAACTTCTCTGGGCAACCTGTGCCAGTGCCTCACCATCCTCTGAGTGAAAAATTTCTTCCTTATATCCAATCTAAATCTCCCCTCTTTCAGTTTAAAGTCATTGCCCCTTGTCCTATCACTACATGCCCTTGTAAAAAGTCCCTCTCCAGCTTTCCTGTAGGCCCCCTTTAAGTACTGGAAGGCTGCTATAAGATCACCCCGGACCCTTCTCCTCTCCAGGCTGAACAGCCCCAACTCTCTCAGCCTGGCTCCACAGCAGAGGTGCTCCAGCACTCGGATCATCTTCGTTGCCTCTTCTGGACCCGCTCCAACAGCTCCAT